GGACATACCTTCAGATTTTTCCACCAGAACTTGCGCTTAAGTTTGCCGGCCTGTTGTTCAAACTGTGAGGCGCCGTGTTGTAGGGCATCGGCCCTGTCGTCCAACTCAGACAACTTGTTATCCCTTTCCAGCACTTTCTCCACATTCGTCCGCATAATGCCCACCACTTCGTCCACCTGTCCGTCCAAACACACCATACCATCAGTGAGTCATTACATTCATAATGGGTGGACAGGGATGTGTGGACAGTGTCCACACACACGACATACCTGTGCCTGTGTTTGTTGGAGGCGTTTGGACGACGGGTTCTGTTGCTGCTGTTGTCCCGCGTTTGAAGACATGGCGATCGGCGTACGTGTGGCTCAGCGCTCAAGATATCTGATCCCAACGACAACAACAACACAATGAAAATAGTGATCGCATTAGCATTGAATGAATGGCTAAGTGTTGGCCACGAATGACACCAAACACGCGGACATACCTTTCAAATGGATTGTCAACTGATTGTCCAATGGATGGGTCGATGGATGAGTGGTTTGGTCGCCGTATCAGTGAATCCAACGAAACAAAAGTCAAACCTTTCAGCAACTGTTGGCTCAAAATGAGTGTTTGTTTCGACGTATGGCTCAATAGTAAGCACTCATGAAATGACTCAATGAGTCACTCATACGGAGACGACTCGTTCAGTGATTCAGTGACTCTAATGCATGCAATCGCTGTGCAATGGGTGCTGTTGTCTGTTGTCTGTTGTCGCCACATATGCCATGGGATGAGAACTCTGCAGTCGTTTGTATTGTTTGCGATTTAATTGATTTAAATTTTTAATCAAATCAATTGCACTCATTATGGCATTTATATCGTAGCATTGGTCATGTATTTTGCTAATATTTATTTCAATATCTGTCAATTCTGTATGTGATATGATTGCTTACAGTAAGCACCCTTTATGCTTAATTTATTCAATTTAAGCATTGCAATTTATTTATTTTGAATTGTTTAGACCGCTTACTATAAATGTAGAATATTTTCAACTAATTATTCAACTCTCAATTGTTTTAAACATTTTTGTCATAAATTATATTTGAATAAATAAATATGAATTGCTAGCATTGAGAACATCAAATAAATAACCCTTTTCTACACCGGATTATAACTTATGCATAATATTACACACTAGCGATAGGGTTGTTAAATATTCAATGTCAATGTGTACGCTATTTGTGGACTACTCTCTACACTACAAAGTTGAGAGAGAGAGAGAGACTTTAATATTTGCTAAGCGCACCCACACACTAAAATAGAGTTACGGTATATGTGTGCTAATATTGTCCATTGAAACATATGCTGTATATTGTAATTTACCTTGACATATCACACAAAAACAATTGGCCTTGAAATGGCTTTTAAATTTTAAATGCGCATTAAATTTATTACTTTAAACACACAAATAATATATTAATTATAAATCTATGCTAGTTATTATTATAATCAAGCTCATGTAGAAGTAAATGATCAAAATGCTCTAAATATAGTTAATTTCGACATAAAGAATATATTATTACTTTAAACACACAAATAATATATTAATTATAAATCTATGCTAGTTATTATTATAATCAAGCTCATGTAGAAGTAAATGATCAAAATGCTCTAAATATAGTTAATTTCGACATAAAGAATATAGAGTTACGTTATTTATAAACAGTTGCTATGCGTATGAGTAGTGACCGACGGTTGGCCGGGCATGTGAGTAAGAAAGCCCGCGCCCGCCCGCACATTCCCAAAAAGTGGGAGGGGTAGTGCACGTCTCACATATACTACGTGCAATAAAGGGGTTTACTGGGGGAATTTAATGTATTTCTTATGATGTACTGCATGACTCAAGGCTTAGCAGTGTCTGTGGTTGGTTTTTTTATTAATAATACATCAGTTTTATTTTGAATTTTAAAATAAAAATGTGTTTGTTTGCGTCTGAATAAGGGGGCGTTATCTATGTGTAAATGCAGTGAAACCAACCACAGACACTGCTAGGCTTTTATTGAAAATATAATTTTTATTGAATTAGTTATTTGATGATAAGATAAACAACGAATTTTAATAAAGAAAATCTTAAACATGATTTAATTACTTGTTATAATAATAACTTTATTAGTGATGATTAAATGTATAAAATGTTACAATAAATGTGGTATATTTTTTAATGAAAGCCGAAAACTAAACTTTTTAAAGCTATTAATGTTGGCCTCGGGCAACAATTAAGCCTTATTTATTGCTCTAAATTCTAAAAACTGGACGGACGGACACATTTCCAATATGCCCTGTCATGCTTGTCATGTTTAATTGAACTTATAATGAATGAGCTAAGTGTGACACGCCCTGTGCGCGCGCCCAGTACGCCATGACTGGCACTGACTTGCGTCGAACTCTGCATACGCTGTACTGCATAGGGATTGTTGGGAACAATGAAGGGTTGAATGACTCATAAAATGTTGGAAACAGTCGTAAACGCCATTCGAAACGAACAGTGAATGTGAAGACATTGGGAAACGAGTCGTGCGTTTCGTTTGTGTCCATCTCATCGACCATCGGATCAACTCATGTGACACTCACTGCCAACAAGTGATCGCATTATTACGGGTATTACGGGTTTCAGTTGATCCCAACCCTCGCCTC